TGCTAATAGGATGACGTTTATTATTATGTAACCGTGGGTTATCTTGGGAATCACTCTGAAGTGCTGAAAATATAGTAGTTCTTTTTTTTATATAAAGTGATTTGCTCTCTAATTTATGTTTTGCTAACTTTCATTTTCTTCATAGAGTTCAACTGAGTACCTTGTGATGGCTTCACTGTCGAAAATTTTCGCCGCAACAGCGACATATCCTTATCAAGTGGTTAGAGCAAGGCTTCAGGTTAGAATGGGAGATTCATTAGCAAATTATTAACCTTTTGACATAGATTTAGATTTCGTTTTACTTGGATGCTATTATCTTGAAATAAACTTGTAGTTTAAGGCTGTTTTTAGTTTTCAGGCCGGTGATCTCATCGGTTGGTTTACTGGACTCCAGTTTGATGTGGCCTGTGCTCGGGCCTCGAGCCTCAGCTAGGTCATTGTGTCGGTTCCTCTGGAAAAGATTCGTTAGCCCCACACATCCCCCCTCCCAGTGGTTCAAATGGGCACCAACAAAAGGCCAGGGAAACCCTACAATGAGGATAAATACCAAATCTCACGAGGGAGAATAGCTTTCACCCTCTTTCACTCTCTCTATTCCTCTTAAGAAACACGGATCCAAGATGGTTATGAGAACGCACGGCGCGAAAGTTTTGATCCTGTGCCCATAAAATTGGCTAAAACCAATTGAATATATCTGGAGCTCTCTCTAAGCAAGTCTGATTTGTTAAATCGTTCAGTATTTACTGTTTCCTGCTGTCATTTATTGTTCATGAATTTTACTTTTCTAAAGAATCAGTACACGATGGTGGAATACAAAGGCGCGTTGGATGTGATTAGTAAGACTTTCAGGTAAGTTGGAACTTGACATGAGGACTTAAAGTTTTCGATACGTTATAGACTAGCTTTCCATCTCTAGTCAGTTCAAACCCTCTACATTAAAGAGAGGTACATGTTTTGCCCGTTTGAAACAATTTGACAAAGAACTGGACCAAAATTGGCGGAGAACTGAAACCAGCTTGTTTGAGAACTGAATCCAATTTCGGATTGACTTACGGCTTAGTGGTAAAGTCCACATTTTCATGAAAGAAGGTATTCTTCTTTTTCTGGCCTCTCCTCACGGCAGGTTCTTTTCAAAATCTTAGGCATGAAGGAGTAGCAGGATTTTATAAAGGATTAATTCCCAGTGTCCTCAGGTAAGGCTAAATGTTAAAAATAAATTTGATGATACAAGTAGATTTGCTTGTTAGTTTTATATGTTAAACCGCAATGTATAATCTAGAATTGGCCAAGAGGGCTTAGTGGGCTCTCATCTTTAATTTTAGGTAGCGCTTTGAAAAGGAAAGGGTCTTAAGACATGGGGTACCCCCATAAGGTGTTTGAACTTATTTGCACCCTCTAGTCTGTGAGAAACTGGGAAGAAGAGACAGGCGATAGATACATTAAGAGGCTATAAAATTTGGAGTAGGTGACATGTCATTGTTTTCGTCAGTTACATGTTCGAATACTGTGAAATTATTACGATACTTATCGTTATCACGAATGTTTGTGCCCCACCTGATATGTTAGTGTAAGTTTTAGCGGTTTTTTTGTTTTTGGAAATCCAGCAAAGGAGCGCTTTAGAAGAAACCCTGAAAATGTAATATATGTAAAACGTTCATTGTCGATTTTACTGTGTATTGTGCGTTTGATTGTTGTTGATTTTGTTTCTTTTTAGAGTAACGCCAGCATGTGCACTCACATTTGTGGTGTACGAAAACGTTATTCACTTCCTTCTGCCGAACAGATTACATCGACAGGATAAATAATGCAATCCGGCAACTGGAAACGATGGGCAATATTACAGCATGTGGTTTTATCAGTAGGATTTATTCTGCAGCAGTTACGACGGATTCATTCATGGAAAAAATATATTAATCGTGCGAAGTTAACCGCCCAGTGCGTTTAAACATTTTATCGGTAGCGTCATTTACCAGCGGCATGTGAATATGAATTTTTTCAAAGGAATTTATGTACAACAATGCAAGAGGTATTCCTTACTATTCTCGGGTCCTAAGGATAACAATGACTTCTCCCATTGTTCTTTTATGAACAGCCCTCTCCCCCCCATTGTTCTTTTATGAACAGCCCTCTCCCCCCCATCTTTGTCCCTTGTCCTTTGCACGTATCAAATTTATGTACATTCCCGTAGCACTAACAAAGGCATGAACTTTAAGAGATGCCTTTTTGCAAGATTTTTTTTTATTACTATTAACTTCATTGTGAGAGATTATTCAGCGTTAATTGATTTCCGGTTGACTTTTTGCGATAAGTGACAGATGATTGAACAATAGGATCATATTATATATTTAAAATGAGAGAGACCAGAGCGTGAGACAGAGAACGGTGAAAGAGAGAGAGAGTTTAAGTTGATTTTATAAAATAAAACGTGAAGTTTCGGAACATAGCAGATTCTTTAGTCTCATTTCCGACACAGTGGCACCTCCGACGGGACGCGCGAAGCATGGAGGAACTAACCAAAGAAGCAGAGGCTAAATTGCAGATGTTGCTGTACACTAATGGAAAAACACGTGGCATTGTGGAAAAGGGAAACCTAGGAGCGGTCGCGCGACATCGCGACAATCTACAAGCATTAGTAAAAGAAGTAGACGCGCTTAAACTAAAGGTTGAACAGACCATGTTTAAGGCCGGGAAAAGTGCAAAAGACGTTGGAAGTTGGAGCAGTAGCATTGAAGAACCGATCGCCGAAGCTGACGAAGAAGTTTCGCGACTGGAAAAATGGCTCGTGGAGACGAATGGAGAGATCGAACATCGAAAGCACAAGGACGAAGAGGAAAGGAAAGCCCGTGCTCGTGAAGAGGAGCTTAAATTCGAAAGAGAGCAAATGGAGATGAAGCTAGAATTCGAACGCCAACTGGAAGAGACCAAGGCAAAACAGCAACCTGTTGAGAAGGCTAATCAGACTGAACAAAGGACAACAAAGCTACCGAAACTACAGATCACAAAGTTTAATGGGACGTATGAAGCATGGCTGCCGTTCTGGAACAAATTTCAAGCTGAAATTGATAAAGCAAACCTTGCATCTGTGACCAAGTTTGCATACCTAAAAGAGCTGGTAGATCCAAAGGTTCGAGCGGAGATAGACGGACTGCCTTTCACAACAGAGGGCTACGAAAGGGCAAAAAACATCCTCATCGGCGAATATGGGAAAACGAGCGAGATCGTGAATGCGTACGTCCAGAACATCGCGAATTTGCCTGTCATTACAGGAACACAACCTGCGCCTATCCACGAATTTTACAAGAAGCTCGTGTACAATGTGCAATCTTTGGAGACACTGGGCAAATTGAAAGACGTCACTGGAAATGCAAGGAGTGTGCTCGACAAACTAAAGGGTGTAAAAGCAGATCTAGTGAGAGGAAAAATGGACTGGCAGGACTGGGACTTCCCACAGTTGATAAAAGCTTTGAAAAGTTGGAAGGAAATCAACCCCATTGGGAGCGGCGCGGATAATGCGGGGAAGCAAGGTGCTAAATTCCGCGATCGCGAGAAAACATTTCACGCAAACGAAACTACGCCAACACAAAGAGGGTGCGTCTACTGTGACGCAACTGATCACAGAGCTGTGAATTGCGACAAGTTTGTGACAGTTGGAGACCGCAGGAAGCAATTAGGACTGAAACAGCTTTGTTTTAACTGCACAGGAAGTCGACACCGTGCTTCTGAGTGCAAATGCCGTTCTGGCTGCCAGATCTGCAGTCGAAGACATCATACATCGATCTGTGACAAACATACATCGCGAGACCAGCTGATGACCACAACGAGCGCAGAAAGGAAAGGAGTGGTGTATCCTATGGTAACAGTTGACGTGAACGGTGTTAGATGCCGAGCATTGTTGGAGACAGGAGCCGGAAGTTCCTACGCTTCATCAACGCTTCTGAACTGTTTACATTTGCGCCCTATCCGTCAACAATTCAAGCGCATTGAAATGATGTTTGGTACTTCAAACAAAGCGATAGACATCTATGGCCTACAAATTCGAAGCGTTGATGGTAAATTCACCTTGGAAGCCGAAGTAAACAAAGTCGACCGCAAAGAGTTGTTGACATTGGAAAACCCAAAATGCGCAGAAATCGTGGCTCAGTTTTCTCATTTGAGGGGCGTAACCACAAATGATAACGACGAGAAAGCGATGTTGCCTGTTCATCTGATCCTTGGAACAAACGAGTACGCTAAGATCAAAACAGGGGCAAAACCAAGAGTTTGGCGCTCGGGAGAACCAGTAGCAGAATACACGAAGTTCGGCTGGACGATCTTGTCACCTGGAACAGAGTTGGATCTCAGCAACATGTTGTTAACGCAGACCTCCGCAATTGATTACGAAGAATTGTGCAAGTTAGACGTCTTGGGGTTGAAGGACAATCCAAGTGGAGACCAGGAAACTGTTTGCGAAGAATTCAAAGAGCAACTAACTAGGAGTTCAGAAGGCTGGTACGAGACGAACTTGCCCTGGAAAGGAAATCACCCCCCCCCCCCCTACCGAACAATCACACTGGAAGTTTAAAACGTCTCAAAAATCTCGTGCGGAAGTTAGAGATACAAGGCGAGCTGGAGAGGTACAACGACATTATCCAGACTCAACTGAGCCAAGGGATCGTAGAACACGCTGACGAGGTGGTCAAGGACGGAAAAGAGTTCTACATTCCTCATAAAGCAAACAAGTAGAAACGAATGCAGAATCTATATTGCTAGTGATATAAACCCACGAGGTCAAACAACATGGCCGCTTCAACACAACTTTATTCCAGCAATGTATTCTGGGTACATACACAGTAACCCTAGAGGGTACTTAATATATTACACTGCTTTCCCCTTACAAATAAGATATCCTTACAAGTAACACAATAGTAGCTATAACATTCACTACAGGTTCAGTCGGTCAACAGGTTTCCTAATTCTCTCTGATCGCCTCTGAACAACCGGCGATGGTGTGTTTACATCCTCTTCACTAATAATAGAATTAGGCTCATTATCTTTATCTGAAAAATTGACTGGTGGCTGCGGCACCTCGGATGAAACTTGGCTATTATCTACACTTAGAGTAGGTTGCTCACACAGTTCTGGGACAGGTATGTCCAACTCTCTAGTTTCATGTGGCACCTGATCATGTGCTTTAATTAAATGATCAACATGAACATATCTGGTCTTATAGCCAGTCTTAACTAAATATGTTCTGGGTCCACAGACCTTAACTACCCTTCCCAGAATCCACCTCTCAGTATTGCTACGGGCTTGAGTATTTCTCACTCGAACTATGTCATTCTCTGCAAACAGCCTATCTTGATGACCCTTTAAATCCTTATATTCCTTCTGCTTATTTTGTTTACTCTCTACGGTTTTGGCTAGATCAGGTTTCACTAGAGTTAAACGAGTACGCAGTCTACGTCTCATCAACAGTTCTGCTGGCGTAGCACCTGTGGTGCTGTGTGGGGTGGTACGGTATCTCAAGAGGAAGTCTGCTAGTCTATGTTTGATAGACCTTCCCTTGTTTCCCTCTAGAACTTGTTTGACAAGCGCCTCCTTTACCACCCTGACTGATCTCTCAGCAGCACCATTTGATTGTGGGTGATAAGGAGGAGTTAGGGTATGTTTAATGCCATTTTTATACATAAACTCAGCAAACTCACTTGAAACAAATTGTGGCCCATTATCTGATACCAACTCCTCGGGCAAACCATGTTGGGCAAATATAAGACGCAACTCATTTATGGTTTTCTCTGTGGTGATTGAGGTCATGTGCTTAACCTCTATCCATTTTGAAAAACTATCAACCACCACAAAAAAAAAATCACTCCCTTTCTGACAAAAATCAACATGAATACGCTGAAAGGGTCGCGTGGCCCATTTCCAGGGTATCAATGGGGCACAAGGTGGAGAGGTCCGCACATCCTGACACACTGAGCATAGTTTAATCTTTTGTTCAATTTCCTCATCCATCTTGGGCCACCAAACACAGGTGCGTGCTATTGCTTTCATTGCACAAATGCCTGGGTGCTCCCAATGCAACTCCTCCAACATCTTTTCCCTAAATACTGGGGGAATGATCACCCTGGAACCCCAGAGAATGCAATTTTGTTCGCAAGAAAGTTCATGTCGACGGGTGTAATAGGGTTTTAAATCTTCATCACAAACCTCTGGCCACCCCACCATGACCCAATCAAGTACCTTGCTTAACCCTGGATCCATCAATGTAGCTTTCCCAATCTCTTTTGCAGTTATGGGGAAATCTTTGTCAATGGCACTTACATTGTAAATCTCTCTCTCACTGCCAATCTTAGACTCTTCATGGGGTAATCTAGAAAGGGCGTCACGGTTGCTGTGCTTCTCGGAGCTCCTGTACTCAATGTTATAGTCATATGCTGAAAGGACAAGTGCCCAGCGCTGCATACGGGCAGCTGCAAGTGTGGGTATAGCAGCTTTTGGGCCCAAAATAGCCAACAATGGCTGGTGGTCAGTTACTAAAGTGAACTTTCGTCCATATAGAAACTGATTAAATTTTTTTACCCCAAAAATAATAGACAAGGCCTCCCGTTGAATTTGAGCATAATTTTTCTCACTTGAGCTGAGGGTACGTGACGCATATGCTATTGGCCTTTCTTGACCATCCTCCATTACATGACTAAGCACTGCCCCCAAACCATAACTCGATGCGTCACAAGCTAACTTAAGCTCACGATTTAGATCATAGTGGACCAACAGCGACTCACTGGTGAGGCCCTCCTTGCATGCCTCGAAAGCTTTCTGGCAGTCATCTGTCCATTCCCATTGAATATTTTTCTGCAAAAGCCTATGCAGAGGTGCTAAGGTTGTAGCCAGCCCTGGCAAAAAGGAATGATAATACTGAACCATGCCCAGGAAGGACCTTAACTCACTCACATTCTTTGGGGCTGGGGCTCTTTTCACTGCACTGATCTTCTCCTCCACCGGTTGCAGGCCTTCGGCACTTATTCTCAGACCTAGATAAACCACTTCAGGTTTCAAAAACTCGCATTTTGCCAGTTTTAAATGCAAATTGTATTGGTGTAGCCTGTCCAACACATCAGCAAGTATCTTGAGATTCTCTTGCCAGTCATTGCCCCCTATCAAGATGTCATCTTGTTTACAAACACATTTTTCCATTCCCTGAAGAATTTGATCCATTTTTGCTTGAAAGATTTTTGGGGATGACTTGACCCCATAGGGCAATTTCTGGTAGGAATAAAGGCCTTTATGAGTGGTAATTGTCAAGTACTCTTGACTTTCTTTGTCAACATTCAGCTGGGCATAGGCATGTGATAGATCAAGCTTACTAAATACCTTAGAGCCAACCAGAGCAGCATACAAATCCTGAGTAGTAGGTAAAACATATTGCTCATCTTCAACTGAATGATTGATAGTGGATTTGTAGTCTCCACATATTCTGACAGTGTTATCAGCCTTTGGCACTACCACAATTGGGCTAGCCCAAAGTGACCTGTCAACTTTCTTAATAACACCATGCTTTTCTAGTTGTCTAACTCTTTTTCGACTTGCTCTTTTAAAGCGTATGGAACCCTACGCGCTTTCACGAATACAGGTTTTGCATCGCCTCTCATAGTAATATGGGCCTCAAGGCCCGTCATACCTTTGTAACTCTCAGTAAACAATTCGCTATGTTTAGATAGCAACTCATTCAGTTGACTATCAGCACTCCCAGGGTCTCCCTTGGGAATACAAAATATCTCACCCCACTCAAACTTAATGTGCCGCAGCCAGTTTTTACCAAGTAAAGTAGATTTTGCATCATAATTGGCTACAAGAATGGGTAGAGAATATTGTTTACCCTTATACACTATGTCACACTGCATTTCCCCTGACACATCAAGTAATTCACCCGTGTATGTCTTAAGTGTTACTTTAGAAGGAGACAGAGGCTTGTCTGCAAACCTCTCTAGATATTCACTTCTACTCATTATTGAGAAATCTGCAGCTGTGTCTAACTCCATCATACACAGTTTACCATTGATTTCCATTTCTACAGTGTACCTATTGCAATTAGGCTTGTTTTGGTCAAGCGAATTCAGAGAATAAATTCCTAATTCCTCATCCTCACACTCATCATTGCCTGATTCTGAAGCCTGTACACTATGAATTTTGCCCTTTTTCTTTTCATCCTTACTGCGACAAACAGAAGCTAAATGCCCAATCTTGGAGCACTTGTAGCATTTTGCTGACTTAAATTTACAAGACTGACCTGAATGATTACCCCCACACCTAGGACATGACAATTGTTCAGTGTTCTTCTTTTCAGTGTTTTTACTTCCTTGTTCTGTCAATTTGTTTACTTGAACAGTTTCACTGCGTGAAGGGTGAAATTCTTGGGTGTTCCTGTCTGCCATCTCCATGGTCTTGGCAATACTGCAAGCCTTTTCGAATGTGAGGTCATCTGTGTTCAGTAGTTTGTTTTGTATCTTCGGATTGTTCAGTCCGCATACGAATCGGTCACGTAATGCCCGATTGAGGAATTCACCATAATTACAGTGGACCGCCAATCTCTTCAAAGCCAGCACATAATCGCTAACTGATTCTTCGGATTTTTGATTTCGCGTGCCAAAGTGAAAACTTTGTGCGATTTCCAGGGGCTTCGGGTTGTAGTGTTTCTCCAAGACTTCCACAATGTTAGTGAATGACACGTCCTTCGGTTTAGTGGGCGCCAATAAGTTGCTGTATACCTCAGGCCCCACTTCTGTCAGGACAATGGCACGTTTCCTGTTCGCTACCACAAGGTTGGTGGCAGCGCTTCCCTCTCCTGTTGTCGTTACAATGTTGTTGGCTGTAAAGAACATTTCCATCCTCTCGACGTAGGCACTAAACGTTTTACGTGCGACGTTGAACTCGCCAACACGTCCAAATAATCCACTCGCACTAGTGCTGGCCATCTTCTATGCCACAACACACACAGCGTTGTCCAAAGACCTTGCACTTTTGAATGACTTGGAAAAACGACCGATCCTCGTCGCCAAAATGTAATATATTGCTAGTGATATAAACCCACGAGGTCAAACAACATGGCCGCTTCAACACAACTTTATTCCAGCAATGTATTCTGGGTACATACACAGTAACCCTAGAGGGTACTTAATATATTATAGAAACCTTGCGATTCACTCGAGTACTTTTTGGTTTGGCACCGTCTCCTTTCCTCTTGGCCGCAGTTATCAAAGAACATCTACAGCGATACAAAATGGTGAACCCGGAATTAGTAGAGGAGATAGAGCGCAGTATGTACGTGGATGATTTAATCAGTGGTGGGGAGACAACAGAACAAGCGTTAGAAATCAAGATGACAGCCACGACCATCTTTGGTGAGGCGACTTTCAAGCTGCACAAGTGGCATTCCAACGATCGGGAACTAGAAGTTGAAACTGCGACTGTAGATGAAGAAAGTCAGAGTTACGCCAAACAACAACTGGGAACCAGAAAGGGCGAATCAAAACCAACGATCCAACGATCGGGAACTAGAAGTTGAAACTGCGACTGTAGATGAAGAAAGTCAGAGTTACGCCAAACAACAACTGGGAACCAGAAAGGGCGAATCAAAACTGCTAGGAGTCCCCTGGGACAAAGAAAAGGACGAAATTCAAGCCAGCTTCCCGATTTCAACCGCTGAGCCGACAAAAAGAGGTATCCTTGGAAAAGTCGCAAAAATCTACGATCCACTCGGTCTGGCTTCGCCCGTGACCCTCTCCGGAAAAATGCTCTACAGAGACGCCAGCGACACGAGGATCGCGTGGGATAGGCCCTTACCAAGTGACTTACAAGCCAAATGGAAGAAATGGGAGCAAGGACTTCCAGAGCACGTGAACGCGCCAAGAAATGTCGTCAAGCATTTAGGGAAGATATTATCAATCGACTTACACACATTCGGGGACGCAAGCGGGAAAGGAGTTGCAGCCGCGGTTTATGCAGTGGTGGAGCAACCATCAGGCACGAGTCGAGGCCTCGTGACGGCGAAGTCGCGGCTCGCGAAGAAAGGACTCACGATTCCCCGATTAGAACTAGTGGCTGGACATATGGCTGCGAACCTAGTACAAAATGTGAAAGAAGTCCTGAAGGGTTTTCCCGTAAGAAGTGTCTATGGTTGGCTGGATAGCACAGTCGCACTGCACTGGATCCGTGGTAATGGCGAATACAAACAGTTCGTGGGAAATCGAGTGAGGAAGATCCAGGAAAAAGAAATAAACTGGAGGCATGTACCAACAGAGGAGAATCCAGCGGACGTGGGGAGTCGGGGAGGAGATGTTAGTAGATTGACAGCTCTTTGGTGGCAGGGACCAAGTTGGTTAGCAAAACCGCAGGACTGGCCGCCAGACCTTGTAACGACATCTACTCAAGAATCAAAAGCGGAAGAAGTGAAACAAACTCGCGAGTTTTTTGCTCTAGCAGTAGAGAAAACAGAGAACAACGACGCCTTCGATGCGCTGCTGGAGAAGTACGAGCTGTGGCGTGTGTTGCGAGTGGGTGCTTGGATCTGGAGATTCCTCCACAACATAAGAACCGTCCGTAAACAGAGAATCGTTGGTCCCCTTACCACTGAAGAAATACAGAAACAAACAACGTTCTGGATCAAGCGATCTCAACAACAAGCAAAGTCGAGCCAGAAATTTGAAGAAGACCGTTTACAGTTGAATGTGCAAGGAAACCAAGAGGGAATATTAGAGTGTAGGGGAAGAATTCAAGGCCATTACCCCATCTTTCTGCCAGACTCCTCGCCCTTCACTCGCAAGTTAGTTCACCGATCACATGTCGACACACTGCACGGAGGAGTGGCCCTTACCATGACCAAAGTGCGAGAGCTATACTGGGTACCGCGTTTAAGGGCACTCGTAAAACAAGTTCTCAGAGCGTGTTCAGGCTGCAAGCGTTTTCAGGCCATGGCACTGGCAACGCCGCCTCCCGGACTCCTACCCACTGACCGCACAGAGGGGAGCACCCCATTTGAGGTTATCGGAGTCGATTTTGCAGGGCCCATCAAGTACCGTATCAGAGCCAAAACAGAAGGAAAGGCCTATCTTGCATTGTACGCGTGCAGTCTTACCCGAGGATTATTCCTGGAAGTACTACCAAACCTGGCAACCAGTGAATTCCTAAGAAGTCTAAAACGGCTCATCGCGCGCCGTGGGCGTCCGAAGAAGATATATTCCGACAATGGCAAAACCTTTGTTGGCGCCGAGAAGTGGGTCAAACAAGTTATGCGTGACGAGAAGACACAAGATTACTTAGCACATGAGAACATCAAGTGGCAATTCAACCTCAGCCGCGCCGCTTGGTGGGGAGGACAGTTCGAGCGCCTCATCGCACTGGTAAAAACAGCTTTAAACAAGACTATCGGATGCGGAATGTTGACCTGGACAGAGCTGTGTGAAGTGGTACTGGATGTGGAGATTGCTTTGAATAATCGTCCTTTATGTTACGTCGAAGACGACATACAGTTACCCGTGCTTACCCCTAACTCATTGCTATTTCTTCGATCAAACCAGCTACCAGAACTGGAACCACACCATCTAAGAGAATTTGATCTGCGTAGAAGAGCTGAATATTTGCGAAGGTGCAAGCAGGCTTTGTGGACCAGGTGGACTACCGAATATTTACGAGGGTTGAGAGAACGACACCGGATGAAACACAAGGGTCAAACCACGCCCTTGGCCAAAGGAGAGGTAGTCATCATCAAGGACGAGGAACGAAATCGCAATAAATGGAAAATTGGAATCGTGGAAGATCTGATTTCGGGACGAGACGGAATCGTTCGAGCTGCCAAACTTCGAGCGGGGAAAGGAACACTTGAACGGGCGGTACAACACCTTTACCCACTGGAGCTGTCCTGCGATCGGGAGAATGTACAGGCTCCTCTACAGCTCAACCCCTTAGCCCCGACAATCAGGCCCAGGAGGGATGCAGCGGTAGCCGCTCGTTATCGCATTCAAGACGCGAACATTGATGCTGATTAGAGATATTTAGGAACACTGAACTGATATACTGGACTAACTTTCTGTTTCGTTAATTGAATTTCAAATTTTATCGAGCGTGCCATTCTAGTGTTTTTCTCCGTTGAGAAAAACAGGGGAGTGTGTGAGAGATTATTCAGCGTTAATTGATTTCCGGTTGACTTTTTGCGATAAGTGACAGATGATTGAACAATAGGATCATATTATATATTTAAAATGAGAGAGACCAGAGGATCATATTATATATTTAAAATGAGAGAGACCAGAGCGTGAGACAGAGAACGGTGAGAGAGAGAGGGAGTTTAAGTTGATTTTATAAAATAAAACGTGAAGTTTCGGAACATAGCAGATTTTTTAGTCTCATTTCCGACATCATAATTATTCAAACATTACTTGTGAAAACTACTTGCAATTAATGAAGAAAAATGTTGAATATTTAGTTGAAATTATCTTATTTTCCTTTTTCTATTCCTTACGTTAAAATGTTTTTCAATAACTTTCTCCATTTGTTACTGAATCGTTGCGATGTAAAGTTAAACCCAGTTTTGATTTATGGCTCTGTTTTTACTTCACTGGGTTCTGGTTTCATGCATTTGCCCGAACATTTCCATGTTGTTGTTGTTATTTTTCCCTGGTTATTGACACTGACTACAGTAAAAAATGGAAAATGAAAGCTACTCTTTCGCGATGCTATCAAGTGAGTTTAAAGAGTCTTTTACATGACCTTTCATTAGATGAATGGTATCGAGAACCTACTCTGACCCTCAGACTACACTGCCCTTAACATTTACTGTCTGTTCGTGTTATGAAACTCAGCTGAAAATAGTCCGTGTAAGGTAAATGTATTTACAAAGAGATACACAGTTTTTTTTAAATAGTGAGATAACATACACGATGCCCTTATATTTACACCACTCAAGAAGCTGAGCCACAAAGTGACCTATCTCATATCACTTTGCTTGGAAAATTCCACCGACGATTTTTTTATATTTTGATACGTTGTCAAGAAACTCGCCTTGCTTTGCCCCATTTGCTTTGTGTTCAGGTCTCTTCTTGTTAAGTAGAGACAAATGAACATCAAATGATTGGAAAACTACTCCTAGCTAGACTATTGAAATATCAGGCAGTAGCCTTTGGGGGTTGTGGTGGGGTGGGTTTCTTTTCTGCGCTTATTATTTTTCATAGAATTCTTTGAACATGTTTGCACTATAAAAAAGGAAAACTTCACCGTGAGAAACTCTGATTTTGATTTCACATTCAACATTCCTGTAAAATAGTTTTGGTGATGTACTTAAACGGTGCACTCGCCCTACGGGTTCATGCAGTTTGGTCAGTCGTTGAAAATTTTCTTGTTCTGTTTTATCCCAAATTGCACTGGAAACGCGTGATTACCTAAATAAAATTATTTTAACAAATTTCGTCTGGAATTAATGGAATGTCATCACTTTTTTTCTACGCCTATAACGAGAGATAGCGCCTGTTTGTATTCCACTGACCTACGCTAAAATAATCATGGTTTATAATTACAGCAATTGAAGGATAAAAAAACGAAAAAAAAACAAAAACATAAAAGGCTCGAAAACCATAAGCTTGAGAGTTTGTGTTTTGCAGATTTTACTTGAAGATTACTTTAAAGATTCTTCGGGCAATTTTCTCTTCAATGACAAAGGCTATCCGATGAGAATTATCATTCTAATGAAATAAATACTTGTTTGCCACTAAAGTTAAAATCTGCTGATAATGTTGACGATAGAGAAGAAAAGTTGAATACGTCGCATGTCAAAACCTTGTACACATGTACCTACGGAGCGATTTATGAGTCCCCTTACTACGCGAAGTATATTTGCTTTACATTCAGTCTGTACTACAGTAGCGTGACTCACAATGAGGTGGGTGTTTATGTTTGTATATGAAGTTGGATCCACAGTTTTTTACAAAAATATTTGTTGAGTATATGCAACCAGTATTGCGATCACTAAAGCAGACCGTCCGGAGAACGTCACCATCTTCCACTGTAGGATGAGCACCATCCAACCAGCCTGGCCAGTCTGTACCACAACTGAATGCTTGCACACGCGTTGTTGGCATTTTTGTTCCTGCAGCTCCCACGAAACGATACCATCTCTCAGGGAGTAGTTTGTCACACAGCTCTAAACCACTTACGTAACTAATCTTTCTACTGGCTTCACTCAGGTTTTTATAATGATAGCAAGGATCGGCTACAAAGCAAAATAATTGCAACAGGACTTAGGTTATTAACATGAATGGTTCAAGATCTTTTCTAACGTCTTATAATTCTGGCAGCTTGTCAATCAGTGGTGAAACTTGCACTTAAGAAGACAAGTGACTTTACATTAATTAAGGGGCCAAGTAGTACATGTCAAATCCCGGTGTAGCGTTACTGCTCTTTCTATCGGCTCACTCAGGTTTTGATGATAATAACATAGGTTGGCTATTAAAATAAATAAAAATTAAAAAATGTTGCAGTAACAATGATAAAATTTTTTTTGTTATTGACATTTTTCAAGTCAATCAGTTAGATAACAACCAGATAGGACTTGTGTGTTACAAGAACAACTATGCATTAAATAAATTTTAAAGAGGATTTTGCGTTGGACAATGATGATGCACAAAAGAACTAAAATGAAAAGATAGTATTGATCGATCATCAATCGCCCATCAAAGCCTGTAGTTGTTTGTACCTCAACTGGATGATACCTCATGCGTTTAAGACAATTTTGATCCTCACCTCCCACACAACGATACCAGCTCAGAGGTATTTGGTAATAACACAATTATCTCTCAAGACTGTGTAATAACTCTCTGCCTATTAGCATCATCCAATTAATTTATGATTATAACGCAAATTGGCTTGCAAAAGTCAAATGAGTTTGATTGATCATAACTGTTATTATAGGGGAATCTTTTAAGGTCAGAGATTCTTAAAGGGTTTTAAGTTCCACAGAGTATCATTTCTACATCATGTAAAAGTTCGTGTAAAGTTTTAAAACGTAATCAAAAGTTACAAATATTGAAGCGATCCTCGCAGTTTTGAATACTATCAAACTAGCAGTAACAGCCCACATAGATGATTTTCATATGTTTAATTCATGTATTCACAACTTAGATGGTTTATTTGTAACCAACAGCTCCCAGTTAGCCTGTTAGCTCAGTTGGTAGAGCGTTGCACCCTTATCGTAAAGGTCATGGGTTGAAATCCCGTACGGACCTGAATTTTTTCAGGCCTTATTTTCACTACTAGTTCAGTGGTATTCATAACTGCGAGGATCGCCTCTTTATTCGTTTCTTCAACTTATACATGACTATTTATAGTCATGTATAATCAAAAGTTGTTTCGTTTTTGTGCATAAGAGAGCGTAAATTTATGCCTCCTCGATGTGAATTTCGGATGAAAGTCAGCTCTAAGCCAATTTACTGCTACGTTTAACGTGGGAAACAAAATATAAATTTCATCGCCTTCATGAAAAACCAAACTATCCTTTACATGCAAAACCATCTCCAATATACTTAAGTTTGCAAGAACAGTTTTATGAGCCCTGGGTATTAGTGCAAGATGCATTTGGATGGCATCCGTTCATTTTGACGGCATGAGCCTTGCTGCATTCGTCAACGTCTGAGAGAAAACAACATAAACTTCAATTTTCCGTGGGTTACCGGTGCAATCAACAATAGGTTTTAGTGTCTTGACTATTTTAATAAAACTTGATGATAACAAAATTTCAACTTCTCCTCTAAAATATATCTTAAGCGTCGACGAAAACGTAGCACCATGTAAAATCACTTACTTCTCCATCTTGTACATAAAGCCAAACGAGCGATTTCATTCTCATGCTTTTGTCAATTATTGACATATAGTTAATTTAAAAGCAGAATATCAATGCATCAGTAACCATAATTGTTGATTCAAAAGTCAGGAACTTTATTTAAGAGGTCCTTAACATGAGAAATGGCTGCTTGAATTAAAACGAGGTATGAGTGATCAATTGTCGAATTTTCTTGCAACGCGAGCGGCTGAATGGCGAGGCGCTGTAGCCGAACGTATCTTAAAATAATGTAGCAAAGAAATTAAATTCACCTGTACAGTTTTGTCCATTTCCAGTATATCCAGCATGACATTGACACACATGTGATCCAAGGGTGTTCATGCATGTAGCATTCACGTGACAGGAATGATTTCCTTTACACTCGTCAATATCTGAGAAACCGTAAATGCATTTTGCACTTTAATTTTGTCACCTAACGATTTGTAATTACTTTGACCACTACAAACAATTAGAAAAAAACTTTCTCTTTTTTCTCTCTAACGAACTAGATTTTTGAAACGTGCAACCTAGATATTATATTCTCTTCTCCAATGTTTTTTTTACATCTCCGAATATGATGGCTCTGAAACAAACCGGATGTAGATCATAGCAACTCCGAGCATAAACATGTATGGATAATGCTGCTTAAAAAAACAAAACTTAGCACTAGTAGAACAATAGTTCCTGCTGAAATTGCTTTATTTAATGCTATGGATCCACAGGTATAGCGTGCAAGTTATTACTAGTCTGTTATTCACCTACTCGATTGAAGATACCTTAAATGTACCTACAGTGTTTTTAGGCGAGAAGAATTAAATATTGTAATTCGGCATGTCTTTAACTACTTTAAGGCTTTGAGGCTAAAACAGTGATATTGAAGATCCAGATGAACTCAGCAGGATCCGAATTTGAGCTCCTTCTTTTTCAGACAATGCATTAAAGGACAGCCCTAGGCAGACTTAGGGCACAACCAGTATCGTTTATATATGACAAACTAATAATATAGCCACCTCAGCAGCTTCAGGTTATATTCGAGCAGGAATATTCTTAATATTATAATAAAGGGATTAAATTCACCTGTGCAGCTTTGACCATTTCCATTAAATCCAGGGTGGCATTCACAAAGATAGGATCCGTTGGTGTTCGTGCAGGTAGCATTCACGTGACAAGAGTGATTTCCTTTACATTCGTCAATATCTGAGAAACCACATATATATTTGCACTTCATTATGTTTGTCACTTTAAAAATGAGCGGACTCTCAGTCGAGTGATTACTTTGATAATCATACATAATAAAACAGTTTTTCTCTTTTTTGTGTTCTACGAATTAGATATTTGAAATGTATATTTTATCACGAATATTTCAGTTTATCAAGCTATCTGCTCTGAAACAACTGACTTGTTCCTGCTGCTCCCACAAAACGTACCATCGACGCAGCACCGCAGTTCTTGTAGAACATTTATTTATCGCTCTTTCTCGCAGTTTACTGGCGATCTAATCCACGCTGGATTTTGCGAGAACGAGCTGGAGGCGATTGATCTACTTTTTTTCGAATGGTTTCCCAACATCTGAAGACGTTTACTACGCTGGTAAACCGATAGAAAGTGCGGTCTGTTACTTTAATAACATATATAAACTTCAATTTTCCACAGGTTTACCGGTGCAATCAACGATTGTTTTTTGACCAATCAGGGCGCTCGTAGTATCTTGACTATATTAAAACTTGATGATAATAATTTTCAACTTTTTCACTCAAATATATCTTGAGTGTCAACGAAAACGTAGCGCCATGGAAAATCATTTACATATCCATCCTCTGCACAGGGTTCAGAGCCAGACGAGCGATTTTATTTTCATGCTCCTGTCAGTCATTGTGATAAGGTTAATTTTAAAGCAGATCAACGCATCAGTCACCAAAATTGTTCATTTAAAAGTCAGGGACATTACCCAAGAGGTTCTTAACATGAGGAATGGCTGCCTAAATCAAAACCAGTAATGAGTAATAAATTACCTAATTGTCTTGCAACGCGGCCTAATGGTGTTGCGCTTATTTTTTCGTCTTTTGTTTTTGAAACATGCAACCTAGATATTATATTCTCTTCTCCAATGTAATTTTTTAGTCTCCTGACACGATGGCTCTGAAACAAACCGGATGGAGATCATGGCAGCTCCTTGCATAAACATGTATGGGTAATGCTGCTTAAAAAAAAGTAGGTCAGTAGTTCCTGCTAAAATTGCATTGTGTAATGCTAAGGGTCCACTGATATAGCATGCTAGGTATTATTGGTCTGTTATTCACTCACTCGATTGTAGATAGCTCAAATGTACCTCCAGTGTTTTTAGGCGAAAAATAATTAAATATTGTACCTCGGCGTGTCTGTAACTAGTTTACCTGAGCACGAGCGTCCATCCCCAGTAAATCCTTCTTTGCAGATGCAATTATAAAACCCAACAGTATTGGAGCAGTTTGCATTTTCGTCACAAACCTTATTGCTGCCTTTACATTCATCGATGTCTATTTGAAAATTAATCGAAGAAATCACTGAGACAAGGTGAAAACATTTGACAGAAGGCCAGGGCAAAGGTAGACCAAACGTTGTGTAAATTCTGTTCTTGGTATACTGACTTACCTTCCAAAATCATGTCGCAGTAAACCAGCTTTGAGCTCCCGACATTAATTGGATCCAACCAGTAATTTTTACTGATGCTGTCTTTACCTTCACTTAATTTTATCTCTTGGCACGACAGCGCTGGTAATTCAGGAATAGATCCTAAGGGGGCTAAAATATAGACATGACTTCATTAATGGTTTAAGGGTAATAGAAGTTGCAAAACAGATTAGATCTGAAAATATATTTCTCTGGGCTAAACATGGAATAACAATGATTAAGAGCTGAGAAGTTTAGCTGATATCAATGTACTATGGAAGGCGAATTTTGCTTTAAGACACTGACCCTATTTAATAACAAAGCAATCGGACACTAGCTCTCGGAAAGTAGCGAGGTCTTACTAGGAACTCACTGAGAAAGATTTGTATGTAAAATAAACTAAACCGGATACATACTTCTACCACTAATGCGTCCCATGTAAAAGCGTAAATCGTCTGGCTGGAAATTCTCGGGCCTTGCTTCCTTGGTCCGGGTGTTAAGTTCACAGGACTTTTCCCCAATTACATAATTGTAGCTTTGACATATCGTTTCCCTCTCGCAGGTGATATCGCACACATGAGGAGCTGTTACTGGGACCTTTTTAAAGACGAATCCTCTGAGAGCCATACCAGGTACGCTAACTTCGGTCTTGCACGGATTTTTAGCATTAGCGAAGTCCATGAGATACAAAGAGGCCAGTAGGACTGGGAAACTCGAATTCCACGGCATTATCACTGATGCTGAAATCGGAAGGTACATATTATTTAGGAATATGCATTGAGCGTTTTTTCTAGATTTAACGCAAACCAAACCAAACAAACGGAAGAGAAATGAAGAAATCCATTCTGAATCGGTTGCAAGTCAACTGCATGTCTGAGTCGCTACACCTTTGTTCATCCGCCTCTTTGATATTCTTAACTTTTACATCTCTTGCACTTATTTGGGAATTATAAAGGTTGCTTCCTAGAAAGAATTGCAGCTGAAATGTTGATCGGCCTCAAGATTAAAAGGTGACAATGAAACGAGTGAGGTAAGCATTCATATATTTTTTGATAGACTTGTTCCATTGTTATTTTGTGTTACGGCATTTTGGTGATGCAAAACATATCGTGACCGTTTGATTTATAGGAGAGAATATTAATTCATGTCATGGCAAGTTGATAAGAAAAAAAGTTCAAACAAGACTATGTGCTTTCCTTACGTTAATATTACTGTGCTTGCAATTTTTCGACACCCTTATTAAACAATGCCGCACAACTTTTGCGGCAAAGATTCGGTTTGAACAAAATGATTCGATTCCTCCTCCAAATCAAATTTAAGAGAGGAGATGTGAGGTTGAATTTGCATAATGAATCCACAGATTGAAATGAGGCTTTTTAATTGAAAAAGGCTCGTTGAATTGCGGCAAAACTTTGGTGTCGATTTCTCTATTGTTCTTTAGAGATGAAAAATTTTTTTTGTCGTAGGTTGTGTTGGTAAAAGATGAGTACTCGCTCCTTTGAAGTCCTACATAAAATATTTTGCACCATATGTTGGAGCTCAAACGCTTGCAATTTTTTCTTTAATGTATCGACACACGGATGAAGCACGTTCGATTTTACCGTTTTATTAGCACAGAGAACAACATTATTTCTCATCTTAATGATAACAGAGAATTTGACTTACTCCGAAAAGGAATAACGAATGATAAACACGCAATTATTCCTTAGAGCCCCCGCACTCACCAACGTCAGGGAGACTTGATTATCACTTTTCAGAAACTTTTAAGCCTAAAAGATATATAATTCACCTCTGCTCGAAAACGAGTGCCCTCAAACATTTCAGAATGACGCGTTAACATACTTAAAAAAAGCTCTCCAGAAATTAGATCAGTACTTTGCGTCAAATCGTTACCAAGTAGCTTCGATTCTTAATGCACAGCCTTTGTGCACTGAAATTTAAGTCGGAGATAAGTCCGTAACAAAAAAAACAAACAAAAACATTGTTTTAAGTATAGTTCCGTTACCGAAAATTACGAATTTGATGCATCAAGGACATTTTTTTTTTATCAGTTTAGAGAATGGAAATTAGCCGAACCTCCTTATGAGGTTTCTATTGTAGGAAAGACGCCCCGTGGACGCAAATTAAAACCGACTGAGAACACCTGTGGGGCTTGAAGATAATTAAGTCCTGAAGATTACACTTCTCGAAGCAGACAATAAGTACGATCGATCAAGCAATTTGAACTTCATTCTCTTACTATTTATTCCGAAAAAATATTTTTTGACTGAACCCCAAAAATACTGAGAGAAAAGTTGTCTGGAATCATTTATCCAAGGTGAAGCTAATGATTCCTTTGTTGCCAAAACTTACGTGAACGCTATCAATTTCTTCTTTTTTTTGATGTTGAAGTTAGTCTTAATGACTACTCCAGCCCTCTGCACATGCAGAATAAAACAAGTTCCCGCACGACTTTGGTACAATTTTTTTCATTTGACCTCCTTGGAGGCACCGCAAAACCTCAAAACCGTTGAGGAAAGTAGAACCAAAGTAGAATTCGACCGTCGTCGTGTTAAAAACAAATACACAGGCCTTTTATAGATAACAATCAAAGGTAATATTCGGAGCATCCTCGCAGCTACTGTACTGAAGAAAAAAATGTCCCTATGGAAATATCGTTGGCTTTTATGTTCTATGTGATAAATTTTGGTCATGTTTTGAAACTGAAAGATTTTGGAAAGCATTATTACGCCGCCACAAATTGCTGTGAAACAGCAATTCTACTCAGCGAGAAAATAAAACGGTGTACCAAATAGGCCTTCCGCAGTGACTCTAAGCCAGATTATAAACTGGCATATTGATGAATTCTCTCTCGCGTAAAATTAACGAAAGAAAAGTGTTTCAAAACTTTGCGCCGCAAAAGAAGTCGTAGAAAGTCGTCAAAAAGAAATTTCATTTTGAACTTTCACTTGCGAAGAACATTATTGCTTTATTCACATCGATTATGCTGCATTACAAACGTGAAATTCGAGATGTGATACAGAGTATTTCCAATATGAATGAACATGTCCTTTTTGGACAGATTGTTTGAAAAATTGATGTAGAGCTCATCTTAAAGCTTAAATCGGTTGCTTTCAAGAAAAAAACCCTTACTTTGTTAGTTAGAGAATTAGAAATATCAGGTCAAAGTTAACATCTTACCCGTCAGCAGAAAAAGGAAAAGCAAATCCTATAAAAAGACTGCAAAACTCAAAACTAATCGTTTTAAGTTAAATTTTTTTTCCAGATTCGAGGGATTATCGCATCGAATTCGTTTGAACAATTTATTTTCCTTTTGGTTTTCTCAAAATGAAGAAGTTGTATGTTCCGAATAGTTTAATATAGTTTTTCATTCTTGGAGTGTTCACTAGAGTTAAAGAAAACTGGCTCACCTTTTAAGATGCAGCACCTCTCCGGTTAGAAATTCAAAACGCATTACAAAGAATGCTGTCATTAGCATTTGTTGCCTCATAATTGCAGCTGAAGTCATAGTAGTCAATAGAATACTCTTAATTAATAACTAATTTATCGTTCCTGTCTGGTCCTTGAGAATATATCACACTGCTATTTTTTAAGTCTGGAAACGGTTTAGAATTTATTTATAAATATCGCAACTTTTCATAGCAGTCTGAGTGTCTCGAGTGTTACTTTGGGTAAATAGAAACATATTCTACTCTAATGATGATTTTAGATATATGAAATTCATATATTTGTACTGCGGCGAAGAGACGAAATTAAGAGATCCTCGCAGCTAAGAACACTACTGAAATGAGTAGTTGAAAATAGGACCTGAAAAAAATTCAGGCCCATACGGGATTTGAATCCATGACCTCTGCGATACCGGTGCAGTGCCGGTAAATTTGCCACTTGCCGTAAATATAAAGAAGACTCTGTAACAATGAAAAGAATCGCACGCACCCTAAGAGGTTAATTAAGAATAAGGAATAATAGGCTTTTGTTCCTTACAGGCACGCAGTTATTACGCAATAAAGAAGTAATTACCAGCTCAAATAAACTATTTATTTTACACACATCGAACCTCTACACAGGCTTCTGCCTTTTTTTGATTTAGTTATACTTTATTTTCGTATCATCATTCTGTTGTAAATTATTTCGTGGACACGAGTCATCAAGAGTAATTAATTTCATGAACTTAAACAAAGAGGAATGTACGATTCATTGAATGAAAACATTAAAATTTCATGGGAGAAAAGGCGTCCTACATTCTTAAAATATGAATGAAGAGAACCCCTGCACGTCTTTAAATGAATTCCGTGTTATATAAGTTTGAAAAGAAAAAAGAAATGCTTGTTTTTTTCTATATAATTCAAAACCAAAGATGGAGTTTAAAGCTACTTCATTTAAAAACCATGGTGTTATCAACATTTTTATATTTCAACTGTTTGTGGCCACAGTAGACAGTTTCAGTCGTGTTATTACAAAACATCTTCTCATTTCTACGTAGTTCTTAAGATTAATTTTACTTGATTTCATATCGTGGTGGCTTGGAAAACATTTTTAAAAGTCATAACACACAGCAAGAATTTTGCGGTTATAACTGGCAATAATTCTTAAAAACAAAGAAAACCCTTCATTTTTTCATAACAATGATAGCTGATATCGATCTCACCCTGAAGGAATAATGAAAAAACTACCACGAAGCAAGAAAGGATATTATCTCTTGCACGCAATGTTCTTTATAACTCCTCGTCCTCAGCAGCGTAAGAAGACTCGATTATCATTTCTTATGGGCTGTTAAGCTAAGACATGTCGAACTTCTAGAGTTTTACTCAGGTTTTTCTAATGATAGGAAGGATCGGCTACAAAGTGAAATGACAATTGCAAAAGGACTAAGATGATTAAAAATCAATGTTTGAAGGTTTTCCCTGACATCCTATAATTCTAGAAGCTTGCCAAAAAGCCGTAAAACTTGTACTTAGCAAGGAACATGACTATGCATTGATGCAGATGTTCGTAAAAAGTTCAGCATAATATGCTAATATATTAGAGTATAGGATTTTAATTTGCGTCAAACCCCACATACAACACCCCATAATCGGTTACTATCCAGTACTTTGCAGCTTGTTTATGAAATGCAGAGGCCGAGGCCGAGACTTACATAACTAATAAAGATTTTGGTCTATTTACAAAGCATTTCACAGGTTATAATATTGATGCAGTGAGTTAATTATTAATATCATCATTTTTTGTTTGGGTGATAATAGCACACGATTACCACAGACTAGTTACAGAGAGAAATTTAAACTACTTTTTTAAAGACTCCTTAGTCAATATTTGTCGGTTTGCAACTATGGGTGCTGTCACAACAGTTATTCGAAAAAATGTTACTAATAAATAAATTATTGTTCCTGTCTAGTGCTCGAGATTTAAAATACACCGTTTATTTCAGTCCCAAAAGCGTAGAGTTTTTACCGTAAATGTTGTAGCTCTACTGCAGCGGGATGAGTCAGGCTTGTAATTTTGGCTTAACAAGTACTTTGGCTCTTTAAAATTGTCAGCAACCTTAATTATTAAAAAAAATTAAACGAGTTTTTAAGTATAGGGGACCATGAAGAGGAGTACAAAGAGAAAAGAATCACGCCCCAGGCAATCATTAGAGTGATAAAGGAGTGATACTCACTTTCAGAAGGTTGTTTCGTATACAATAATTAAACCTCTAACTCCTGGCGTGATGCTCGGTTGGGTATTTA